TTTATCTAGATGGTGAGCTAATAACAGGGAAGACCAATTAGAACCATTAATTATTGTCCTTGTTGAAATTAGTTAAATATTTGGAGAGATTATAATGAGGTCAGCCAAGTGGAGCTCATAGAATGAGTTCCCTGTTTAGGGCTGTTAACCTGGTTCAATCAGGGAGCACTTGCTGACAGATAAGAACAAGGGCATCAGACATCCTGTTCACTCTGAGAGCTGGATCAGTGTCCAGCTCCATGTCTTAATAAAGGGTGACTTGGTGACAAGATCTTGGCCTGTGTGGAGTTAATTAGATATTGACTTGTTTTCATTCATTTTCACCAGATTAGGTATTCTGAGAATCAGTTGTTTTCACACAGAACGATGATTAACAAATTGCAACAACTTTGCACTTGACTTGATAACCTTCTGCTATTTGGCAGGCACTGTAAGTGACTAGCACCATGAAAATAGTTTCTGTAGGAAAGGTATCAATAAAAACTCTGAAGTTGAATAAAGGTGAACTAATTTACAAATCTATTCCTGCATCCCTTCTTTCTGTTTAGAGAAGAGATTCACTTCTGCTGAGCACCTCCCTGATGATTGCCTGCGAATGTGCCATAAGACTTTCTTCTTTAGGTACTGCTGATGTCATTAATTCAGCTTATTGCAGAATAAGCTAGTACAGCTCGCCCTCTGGTCCCATTAGTGAGGGTCGTTGCCTATTATTTATGTTCTTTTCAAATATCAAATTGAAATCGAAGCTCCCTGTTTAGGGAATACAGTCCACAGATTGCAACCTGTCAGTCTGTGACACAGCAACCTGATCCTTGAAATCTTCATACACACGTTCCTGTTAGATTGCTCAAGCCTTTTAACTCTGTGCAACTTGTAATAAACAAGTGGGAAGCCATCCGGAGAAAAGTTATTCTGGCCACAATCATACAGCTTGGGATTGGAAATTTTGATTTATTTACTTGGTGCTTGTTTAACTCACTATTTCCCATTCCAAAATCACAGTTCTGACATTACTTTATTTTTCTATGGATAGCCTCAGCAAAAGTAGTCTTACAGTTTTCAGAAGGCGTTCTGCCTTGTGTTACATCTGCCAAAGGAAATGTTTACACTCTTGGGGAAGTGAACCTATTAAGATACACTTCTGTCTTAAATAATCTTTAATAAAAAAGATAGGGCATTCATTGAAATAGCTCTAATATTCACATCTTCATGCGAAAGACAATCAAAGAAGGTTTTTCAGGAAAATTGCTGATAAATGGAAGCAGAATACTTTTTGATTTGATTTATTCTTGTCACATGTGCCTAGTTACAGAGAAGAGTTTTGTTTTGTGTGCAGTACAGGCAGATCATACCATACGAAGTGCATTAGGGTAATAGAACAGAGCGAGGAAAACAATGTTATGGCTGCAGAGAAGGTGCACAAAGAGGGAGATCAACAACTGCTATCACCTTTCTAAATTGACTCTGGACCATTTATGTGGAAATCCTGTCATAAATTATTCAATTTTATTTGTCACTCTTGAATAATAATACTCTGAATTTTATGCTGTGTCTCATTCTTTGCTGGATCTACTTCCTACTGAGATTCCTACAAAATAAAATTTCAGCAGTGTACAAATTCCCTACTTAAAAGATTCTGGTCTGTGGTGCAGAACAGCAAATGAATTGGAAATAATTGGAAGATGCTGAATGCCTTTTGTCATTACATTGCAGAATCTCTTAGTCGTCAGTGTTCACCACTTTGTACTTTATTTCACCTACGTTACAGAGCAACAGTATATTCTCTATGATTTGTGCTCTGTTTATTCTGCTGTACAATGTGACAGTTGCAATATTTTTATCACTGATTACAACATGTAATATGAGTGCAGTCTGGCAGGCAAAAAGAGATACAGGGTGGAATTCTCCTGTCCCTGGGAGTGGCAAAAGTGGTGAGGAGGAGGGATAATGTTTTGAGTTTGCCAAGGAGGAAAACACACCCTCTTCTTGCCCATCTGCAGTACTGGGAGCAAAAGCCCAAGTGCAACATTCTCGACTCACCGGCGAATATGCCCTTAAATGATAATGGTCACTTAAGGGCCTTAACTTGTCACTTCCTCCATGGGTGAGAAAGTTGGCTGGTTTCCCAACTGGGGAAAAAGTGGCATCTTGCCCGGTTGGGAGGGGCAAGCTGGGGGCAAATGGAGGCACATGGATGAGGGGCATGGAAGAGGGAGGAGTGTGAAAGCCATTTGCCCGCGGCAGCACTGACTTTTCTGTCAGCGTGAACCCTACCCCATGAGAAGAAGAAAGAAAAGCTACCTCATCATGCTGGTTCACGTGAGGAGTATTGCTAACCTGCAAACTTTAGGACCCAGTCCCAGGTTGCCAGTGTTGGGGCCTGTGATAGGGTGACTTACTTGTACACTTTGTGGTTCTCAATGAGTTAATCTGTGGGTGATTGGATCAGTTACCATGCTGATGGGGGATGGCATATTAGTTACCGCCCAAAAATATGGGAAAACTGGGCCCTATACATCCTGAAAGTCTGGATTGCAATCCTGGCTGTTAGATTATGTTCAAAGATGCACTTCAACACCGTTGATAACACAGGGTGCAAAACACTTGTTGATTCATCGGTGAGCTGTCTGATCCTATTCATTATCAATTGTTT